ATCCATGACCCTCCAGAATGATCTGTGGCCATCCAGAATGATCTGTGGCCATCCAGAATAATTTTTGGCTCCCCAGAATTATCACTGGCCCTCCAGAATAAGCCATGGCCCTCTAGAAACTCCATGACCCTACAAAATAGTCCATGAGCCTCCAGAACAATTCAGGGCCCCCTAGAACAATCCCTGGCCCTCCAGAATGATCTGTTGCCCTCCAAAATAATCTGTGGCCCTCCAGAATCATCTGTGGCCCTCCAGAACAATCCATGACCCTCTAGAACGTTCCATGGCCCTCCAGAATGCTTTGTGGTCCTCCACAATAACCCGTGGCCACCCAGAACAATCTGTGGCCCACTGGAATAACCCGTGGCCATCCACAATAATCCATGGCCCTCCAGAACAATCCGTGACCCTCCAGAACAGTCCCTGGCCCTCCAGAGCAATCTGTGACCCTCCAGAACGACCCATGGCCACCCAGAACAATCTGTGGCCACCCATAACAATCCATGGCCCTCCAGGACAATCTGTGGCCACCCAGAACAATCCGTGACCATCCAGAAAAATCCTTGACCCTCCAGAGAAACTCATGTCCCTCCAGAAAAATCTATGGCCCTCCAGATTTATCCGTGGCTCTCCACAATAACCTGTGGCCACCCAGAACAATCCCTGGCCACCCAGAACAATCTGTAGCCCTCCAGAACAATCTGTAGCCCTCCAGAATGATCCGTGGCCACCCAGAACAATCTGTGGCCACCCAGAACAATCTGTAGCCCTCCAGAACAATCCGTGGCCACCCAGAACAATCCATGGCCATCCAGAACAATCCGTGGCCATCCAGAACAATCCGTGGCCACCCAGAACAATCTGTAGCCCTCCAGATCAATCTGTAGCCCTCCAGAACAATCTGTAGCCTTCCAGAATGATCCGTGGCCACCCAGAACAATCCATGACCCTCCAGAACAATCCATGACCCTCCAGAATGATCCGTGGCCACCCAGAACAATCTGTGGCCATGCAGAATAATCCATGCCCCTCCAGAACAGTCCCTGGCCCTCCAGAACAATCTGTGACACTCCAGAATGACCTATGGCCACCCAGAACAATCTGTAGCCCTCCAGAAAAATCTGTGACACTCCAGAATACTCTGTGGTCCTCCAGAACAATCCGTGGCCACCCAGAACAATCTGTAGCCATCCAGGACAATCCGTGGCCACCCAGAACAATCCATGGCCCTCCAGAACAATCTGTGGCCACCCAGAACAATCTGTAGCCATCCAGGACAATCTGTGGCCACCCAGAACAATCCGTGGCCACCCAGAATAATCTGTGGCCATCCAGAACAATCCGTGGCCATCCAGAACAATTCATGGCCACCCAGAACAATCTGTAGCCCTCCAGAATTATCTGTGGCCACCCAGAATAATCCATGACCCTCCAGAACAATCTGTGGCCATCCAGAACAATCTGTGGCCATCCAGAATGCTCTATGACCCTCCAGAACAATCTGTGACCCTCCAGAATGACCCATGGCCACCCAGAACAATCCATGGCCACCCAGAACAATCTGTAGCCCTCCAGAATGATCCGTGGCCACACAAAACAATCCATGGCAATCCAGGACAATCCATGGCCACCCAGAACAATCTGTGACCCTCCAGAACAATCTGTGGCCATCCAGAACAATCCGTGGCCATCCAGAACAATCTGTGGCCATCCAGAACAATCTGTGGCCATCCAGAACAATCCGTGCCCACCCAGAACAATCTGTGGCCCTCCAGAATGATCTGTGGCCACCCAGAACAATCCGTGACCACCCAGAACAATCTGTGGCCACCCAGAACAATCCATGGCTATCCAGAACAATCCGTGGCCACCCAGAACAATCCATGGCTATCCAGAACAATCTGTGGCCATCCAGATCAATCCGTGGCCCTCCAGCTCTGCCAGCCCCCTCCCCCAAAGGACAATGACCCCCCCTATGCCTCGTCCTCTCAGGGACAGGGAGGGGGTGGACACAGACCCGATGACCATGAGGGACAGCCTGACCAGTGCTCCCAGCGTGTCCCACACCCCAGGAATCGCCGGTGGCACCACTGGCACGGGCAGGGGGTGCCCAGATGTG